CACCTGATCTTAATCGAGAGTTTTCTTAAGTGATTTCGATCATTTAAGATGTAATTAACTATAGGGGCTTGCCTCTATATGGAACCAGGAACCCAGATAAAATAAACCCTATCTAATTTTTTATATTAGATAGGGGAACTTGTTGGCCTTTTTATAAAAATATTTCGCAGATCAAAACGGATGTCACTAATTGTTTTGTCTAGATGATTAAATCCCTATTACAAGTAATATATTTATTATTTGGGATAAATGTATTGCTTGTGGTGTCATATTAAATCATCTAAACTATTTAAAAATGTGAGATTCGTTTGATCTCACTCACTTTAAATCTCACTCATTTTAAAAATAAAAAATGTTCTTTCAAAAAGTTATATTTCTATTTAAATTATTTTCAAAATCACAAAATCATCACCTTTTCAAACTACGAAAGCGAAAGTTGAACAATAAAACGGCCGACACCGCCTTACTAGCTTCTTTCAGGCTCCTCTCAATAACCTGCCTCTTGCTGTCGAACACATACAATTCTTCCCCACCTGCTGTCCCTACAATTCCGCACCCACCCTTTGCTACCACCCCGCCTCCCGTAGCTGCCGTCATCTCTCCTAATCATCCCTATCCCTCTAGCCGACCTCCACCGCCCATTGGGAAACATTTAGGAGTGTTTGCTTGTGTCATTTTATGTTTGGATTGTTATTTACTTTTGAGTAATGTTGTTGCCCTATTTTAATATTCATGAAAGTATTTTTTTTTCACTATTTTTCTTACTAAATCCAGTATCACTTAGTGTGATTGTCGCATGCTTTGAATAGTATATTCTAGCTTACAAACAAAATGCCCCTAGTTTATTTTATCATTTCAATTTATTCATTATAATAACAAATAAAACTGAACCGATTAAATAAAATATAGAATTGAGCCTAACCGAACCAACTTATAATTAGGCTTATTCGGTTCGATCTTGGTTTAACCGTACTTTGAAATCCTAATGAAGATGTGTGCATCCATTCAATTTGTTAAAGTCTCGTCAATGTTATAAATTTTATATTTTAATTATGAAGTAATGCAATAATTTATTTCCAATTTTTAGTACCTTATTTTCCAACTATAGTATTTTTTTTTAAATAAAGATGTTTACCAAAATTTCCATCTTTTCCGTTCATAAAGTATTTGAACTCTCAAAAATCTGTTTTAAAGGCTGTCTAAAGTTGAGAAAGCTTTAAAAACTGTGCCCCCCAAAACTTCAATGGGAAAAGAAGCAATGGTTTAACATGCCTTCTTATTCTCATGGTTCGATCACCTTTGTGCCATACTCGCTGTCCCACTGACCTGTCTTCCACCGCCAACTTCTCCTGCACCACCGCAAGTGCTGATCTCTGGCATCGATGATTGCACAAAAAGGTGTCACATTGTGTATTTTACATTTCACAAGAATCCCTCGTGTGTGAAGCAAGTTTGGGGAGCGGATGAAGCGAGCGAAATTACGAGATAACATTGACAGTCTGCATTTTTTCGGCTACATCTTATCGATGTTATGCTCAATTGACACCAAGACTCTGAAGAGCTTAGGCAGCACTAATTAGAACACACTTGCAAAAAATAGGCTGTCTTATTGTTTTACTGCGATCATAAAATTACATCTTGATGAAACAAATGATGTAAATTTAATATTTACAAAGTCCCAAGTTCCATTTTAATACTTTTACAGATCATTTCTCACTTAATTATTTTATAGCTGTTTCATCATAAAAATATCAGTATAGTTGTTGCAACCAGTTATTCTCATTTAATTTAACTGCCTCTCTGTAACATACTACTGGCATAACTTATGTTGATACCCGCCTGAATCAGTTACCATTACCTTTCAGATATCACAAACTGCAAAAAGACAAGATAAGTGCGGCTGAAGCAGCAAACTTTAAAACATCGAACGGCGCATCGAATTATGTAATTATTGATGAAATTGATATGCTTGATGAAGAAGAAATGGATATCAAACATGACAATACTTGAATTTTCACCATCATGAACAACAGGAGTGAAAACTAACTGGTAAGATCTTCCTCTTTATCCACCCAACGTGCACTCTGATGATATTTTAATGGACGATTTACATGCATACGACTCAATTCTTATGTATTTACATATTTAATGCCTAAACTTCAATTTTCACATGCATGCCACTCTACCTATCCTCGAAAAGATGTGTTCTTCACTTTTTAAAATTTTAAAAATGCCTTTTTTCTTTGGTGATGAGGAATATTTGGGTGATATAAATGTTAAAAATAAAGTTTAGGCGTCAACTATGTAAATACATAGGAATTTAATGGTATATATGTAAATGCCCCCATTTTTACTCTGAATGATGCTAGCATGTCTGAACAAAGGATTTCTCCCCCTTCCATAATCAGAACTTTTGAATGATAGATGCTGGAAAAGCAGTGCCCTTCCTAACTCATCCGGAGTTTGATGGGCGCACAATCGGAGTATTTTTGTTAGCATTGATAGCATTTTAACTGAGCTGGTTGTCAAGTTTCAGCATATGGAGGACGACATTTACCAGTAATGCCTCTAATTCTGTTCATATACGACATGTCTTCGTCCAGTTTGTATATCGCAGGACGGGAAATACTTTAACTCTCGTGCACCGCAAGCTTATAGATGCTACGAAGGATGACTAGAAGTACTGACAAGAAGCTTACTTGGTATCTATTATTTTTTCGATTTAAGTTTTACAAAAACTTCATATTCATTTTAAATTCTCATTCTGTCAAGGGGGATTTTTCTTTCTTTTGCTCTTGATCCCAGAAACAAATCTTCAAATTAAGCCTTGTATACAGATTTTGAGGAGAATTCCTTGTTTTGTTACTTGGGGGTGAAAGAATACTCTCCAAAGTTCTTGTTTTATTTGAAAGAACAAGCGCATTTATGTGAAGTTTCACTGCTTAATTAGGCTTGATTAAGTAAGGAGTTATTAATGTTACACTTAAAGTTTGATGTTTACATCTATAACACTTTTGTGTTATATATTTATATATGAAAATGTGTTTTTCATTTTTAAAATGTTAGCTTTAGGTGTAGCTATGTAAATATGTAATAATAGTGTGGTATATATGTAAATGCCC